AGAGTAGTGAGAGGTGGAGCAATAAAATCTGCAGCTATCTTTAAAAAGAAAGGTTCCACGTTGTCCGGGCCGGCCGGTTTCTTAGGATCTAACTTGGTTAAAGCTTCACGAACAACATCAACAGTAAAAGGAGTAAAACTGAAAGTGTTTTCCAGACCACATTGTTCAGAGTCACCGACTGTGGTGTTCACAGAAGCAGAGTTAGTCACAGAATCAAACATAGAACCGCAGGACACAAAATGCTCATTAAAACAATTTAACATAGTAGCCCTGTCCGATATAGAGCCAGATGCTGTGGTAATGCACGGAGGTAGCTCATTTCGGATCTCACCGGTGGATAGCGATTTTATGGCTTTCCAAAATTTCCTAGGATTATTTCTCTGTTCCTTCTTCCTGTGTTTGCCTTCCTGTCGTCAGTTTCCCTGGTGTGTCTGATTGTCTGATTGTGTTCACCTGTTGCCCTTGTGTTTCTGCCTCCCTTACCCCAGCTGTGTCTTGTCTTGTGATTACCCCTCTCTGTATTTAGTCTTGTCTTCCCCTGTGTGCCTTGTCGGTTCATTGTTGGTTTTTCCTGTCCCCCTCCTGTTGGCTCTCATTCCTAGTGCTACCCTTGCTATCAGCTTTGTAAATAAAGCTCATTTTTTGTTTCTAGACCTGTTGCCTCTTTTTGTAGTCTGCAGTTGGGTCCTACTTTTCCACGCTACCTAACAGAATGAACCGACCAGAAATGGACCCAGCAGACAGCTTGTACGAGGTGACGTACAATTTAACATGCTTGAGGAATGACTTTCGATATGCCTCCAGTAGTGAAGAGAGGCAGTCTATAATTTCTACGGCACGCCAAGAAGTAACCTCAAGGCCCTGGTTAAGGGAGTTACTCCCCGAGTGGATTGAGGACTTTTTTGGTAGCGTTGAGGTCAAACCTGTTTCCCGGCCTGCTAGCTCCAGGCATGCTAGCCCCCTGCCTCCCAGTTCCCGGCCTGGCACCATACGTCTCGGTGTGTTCCGTCTGGAGTCAGCCCCTGCTTCTTCCCCATTTCCTGCTCCTGTCCAGGAGCCGTTCTCGGGTACTCGTCTGGCTTTTGGAGGTCCAAGGAGCCTCCAAAAGGCTCATAAGAGAAGGAGTCGCAAGTCCAGGCTAGCAGCCCGAGCCCCAGAAGCCATGCTTTGGGCTCCAGTACAGGTCCCAGCAGCCATGGTTCCGGCTTCAGTACCAGCCCACACAGCCATGGTTCCGTGCTCCAGTGCCGGCCCACACAGCCATGGTACTGTGCTCCAGTACCATCCCACACAGCCATGGTTCCGTGTTCCGGTTCCGTGCCCAGCAGCCATGGTGCCTGCTCTAGTACCGGCCCACACAGCCATGGTTCCGGCTCCAGAACCGGCCCATACAGCCATGGTTCCAGCCCCAGTTCTGGCCCCAGCAGCCATGGTTCCGGTGCCAGTTCTGGCCCCAGCGGCCATGGTTCCGGCCCCAGCAGCCATGGTTCCGGCCCCAGTTCTGGCCCCAGCAGCCATGGTTCCGGCTTCAGTTTCGGCTCCAGTACTGGCTCCCCGGCCGACGCCAGCCCCCCGTGTTTTGTCAGTGGTTCGGCCCACTCCAGCCCCTCGTGTCCTGTTGGCTCTACGGCCGACGCCTACCCCATGTCTTGTACCGTTGGAGGTCCCGCCGACTACTCTTCTGCCGGGGGTCCTGCCAACCCTAGGTCCTGTGCCGTTGGAGGTCCCGCCGACTACTCTTCTGCCGGGGGTCTTGCCAACCCTATGTCCTGTGCTGTTGGAGGTCCCGCCGACTACTCTCCTGCCGGGGGTCTTGCCAACTCCATGTCCTGTCCCATTGGGGGTCCCGCCGACTACTCTTCTGCCGGGGGTCTTGCCAATCCTATGTCCTGTCCCGTTGGGGGTCCCGCCGACTACTCTTCTGCCGGGGGTCTTGCCAACCCTATGTCCTGTGCCGTTGGGGGTCCTGCTGAGGGTCCTGCCAACTCCACGTCCAGTATCGTTGGGGGTCCTGCCGACACCTGTTCCGCTGTGGGTCCTGCCAACCCCATGTCCTGTGCCGTTGGAGGTCCCGCCGACTACTGTTCTGCCGGGGGTCTTGCCAATCCTATGTCCTGTCCCGTTGGGGGTCCCGCTGACTACTCTTCTGCCGGGGGTCCTGCCGACCCTATGTCCAGTGCTGTTGGAGGTCCCGCCGACTACTCTCCTGCCGGGGGTCTTGCCAACTCCATGTCCTGTCCCATTGGGGGTCCCGCCGACTACTCTTCTGCCGGGGGTCTTGCCAATCCTATGTCCTGTCCCGTTGGGGGTCCCGCCGACTTCTCTTCTGCCGGGGGTCCTGCCAACCCTATGTCCTGTGCTGTTGGAGGTTCCGCCGACTACTCTCCTGCCGGGGGTCTTGCCAACTCCATGTCTTGTCCCATTGGGGGTCCCACCGACTACTCTTCTGCCGGGGGTCTTGCCAACCCTATGTCCTGTGCTGTTGGAGGTCCCGCCGACTACTCTTCTGCCGGGGGTCTTGCCAACTCTATGTCCTGTCCCGTTGGAGGTCCCGCCGAGTACTCTCCTGCCGGGGGTCTTGCCAACTCCATGTCCTGTCCCATTGGGGGTCCCGCCGACTACTCTTCTGCCGGGGGTCTTGCCAACCCTATGTCCTGTGCCGTTGGGGGTTCCGCTGAGGGTCCTGCCAACTCCACGTCCAGTATCGTTGGGGGTCCTGCCGACACCTGTTCCGCTGTGGGTCCTGCCAACTCCACGTCCAGTATCGTTGGGGGTCCTGCCGACACCTGTTCCGCTGTGGGTCCTGCCAACCCCATGTCCTGTCCCGTTGGGGGTCCTGCCGACTACTGCTCCGCCGGGTTTCCTGCCAACACCAGATCCTGTCCTGTTGGGGGTCCCGCCGACACCTGCTCCGCCAGATTTCCTGCCTACACCATATCCTGTCCTGTTGGGGGTCCCGCCGACACCTGTCCCGCCGGGGGTCCTGCCAGCTCCATGTTCTGTTCTGTTGGGGGTCCCGCCGCCGGGGGTCCTGCCAACTCTGTGTCCTGTCCTGTTGGAGGTCCCGCCGACACCTGTTCCACCGGGGGTCCTGCCAACTCTGTGTCCTGTTCCGTTGGGGGTCCAGTCGACACCAGCCCTTGCTCCATCCGGGGTCCCATTGACAGTCCATGTCATGTCCAGGATCCCGTCTACGCCTGTTCCGTCGGCTCCGGTTCCTGTCCGGCCGACAACGGGTCCTGCCCGGCCTCCGGAGCTGTCCCGTCAGCGCCTTCCTGCCCGTCCTCCGGAGCTGTCCCGTCAGCGCCTTCCTGCCCGTCCTCCGGAGCTGTCCCGTCAGCGCCTTCCTGCCCGGCCTCCGGAGCTGTCCCGTCAGCGCCTTCCTGCCCGGCCTCCGGAGCTGTCCCGTCGCCGCCTTCTTGTTCACCCTCGAGCCCGGCCCCCTGAGTGCCGCGGTCTTCGCCCTCGAGCCCGGCCTCCTGAGTTCCCCAGCCGCGGTCTTCGCCCTCAAGCCCGGCCCCCTGACTCTTCCAGCCGCTGCCTTCGCCCTCGAGCCCGGCCCCTTGAGTTCCCCAGCCGTGGTCTTCGCCCTCGAGCCCGGCCTCCTGACTCTTCCAGCCACTGCCTTCGCTCTCATGCCCGGGCCCCTGAGTTCGCCCGCTGTGGCCTTCGCCCCTTTTTGGACTCTGCCTTGCCCCCCGGGCCGTCCGCCCGGGACCCCTTCCGGGCCCGTCCTCCGGACCCCTCCACCCACCCTTTTGGTCCTGGTTGTGCGTCCCTCCTCCGAGCCCCCTCCGCCCACCCTTCTAGAGGTTTTGGACTTTTTGGGGTTTTCTTGGGACGTCTGGAATCCGTCCCTTGAGGGGGGGGTTCTGTTACGGTTTTGTATTTATGTTTTCATTTTCCACCTTTGTTTTGAAATGTTTTCCTCCTTGTGTCTTCTCTGTTCCTTCTTCCTGTGTTTGCCTTCCTGTCGTCAGTTTCCCTGGTGTGTCTGATTGTCTGATTGTGTTCACCTGTTGCCCTTGTGTTTCTGCCTCCCTTACCCCAGCTGTGTCTTGTCTTGTGATTACCCCTCTCTGTATTTAGTCTTGTCTTCCCCTGTGTGCCTTGTCGGTTCATTGTTGGTTTTTCCTGTCCCCCTCCTGTTGGCTCTCATTCCTAGTGCTACCCTTGCTATCAGCTTTGTAAATAAAGCTCATTTTTTGTTTCTAGACCTGTTGCCTCTTTTTGTAGTCTACAGTTTGCCGCTTGGTCTCTCCATGCTTCCCTGGTGGGAGGGACTAGTCGCAGGGAAACGACGCAAGTGAGGGACGCAAGGATTCCATTTAATCGACCTGAGACGCAGCCAAAGTCATTCAAACTAGCTGCACCTTTACCAAAGTAACACACTTTCATGATCAATCATTATAAATATATCGTATATATTATTCTGAAATGGACCAATCTGCACAATCACTACTTTTACTGTACTTTCACTATATTTTGATGAGAATACTTTTATACTTTCACTTGAGGAACATTTTGAATGCAGGACTTTTACTGAAACAGAGTATTCCTACACTCTGGTACTTCTACTTTTACTCAAGTACAAGACCTGAGTACTTCTACTTTTACTCAAGTACAAGATCTGAGTACTTCTACTTTTACTCAAGTACAAGATCTGAGTACTTCTACTTTTACTCAAGTACAAGACCTGAGTACTTCTACTTTTACTCAAGTACAAGATCTGAGTACTTCTACTTCTACTCAATGTTACGTCCCCCTTCTAGGGTAGAGGGAAATGACATACACCAGTATGGAATTGGTAAAGTTACAAGTATTTATTTACACAACAAGTTAACAAAAGAGTAGGCTAACGGCCGGGCACAAACAAAAGTGGCCAAAAGGGCGCAGATTAAACTAAAGAGCAAACAAAAGGAGGACTCTAACAAATGACCCTATGGTCCAAATACTTGTCTCCTCCCCTCTTCCTGCTCTCCGTGTCTGGAGGAGCGTTGATGGAGTTTCTTCCTCTGGTCTCCTGCAGGTCAACATGGATCCAGGTCTCACCATCGTCCTCCTGGGAAACACCGGCGTAGGTAAGAGTGCTTCAGGAAACACCATCCTGGATCGCCCTGCGTTCGAGTCCAGACAGACCCTGACCCCGGTGACCAGGCAGATCTCCGAGGCCACTGAGACCGTGTTTGGGAAGCAGGTCTCGGTGGTGGACACCCCGGGGATCCTGGGCTCAGAGCGGCAGATCCAGGCCTGGTGCCGGGAGCTCCGGGGGTCCGGCAGAGAGACCCTGTTCCTGCTGCTGTTCAGTGTGGGGCGCTTCACCAAAGAGCAGGGGAAGGTTCTGGTGGCAGCTCACAGGGTCCTCGGACCTCAGGACTTCAACCGGTGTTTCCTGCTGTTCACGCGGGGGGACGCCTTAGAGGGCCAGGCTCTGGAGGACTTCATCCTTGAAGACGAGGACACTGCAGCTAGCTGCTCAACGTTCTCAGACAGATATCATCTGTTCAACAACCAGAGCGGAGGGCGGGAACAAGTCCGAGAGCTGCTGGAGAAGACGGGCCACCTCCGAGCCCAGAACCCCCCCCCAGCAGGTACATGTACTGCTTTAACTCAGGTGCTGTACTGAGGACACTTTGGAGATGCTTGTATGTCTGGGCAGATTTGGGGGTTAATGCTGAGTCCATTCCTGACGTTTTCAGGATCAACAATGATGGGTTTTGTTGAAGCTAAAGTAGCTGCAGGGTTCTGTCTGTTCTCAGGTTGAGTCTAGAGTCTCTTTGGACAGACGCTAAATGTCTCTGTGTCTCCAGGTGTCCTGCAGTCCGTCCGGTTGGAGGAGGTGAGGCTGGTGCTGCTCGGCCCTCCTGGAGGAGGGAAGAGTTCCTCAGGGAACACCATCCTGGGGTCGGATCAGTTTCAGTCGGACTGTGGCTTCAACCCCGTCAGCACTGAGTCGGTCAGTCGCTCTGCCACGGCGGGGGGGCGTCAGGTCACTGTGGTGGACTCTCCAGGAATCACAGCTGGAAGTGTGTCTCCTGAACAGCTGTCTAAAGAGATCATGAAGTCCATAAAGCAGGCGAGTCCAGGACCGCACGCCCTGGTTCTGGTGCTCAGACTGGGCAGCATCAGCTCGGCAGACATCGCCCTGTTTGAGAACCTGAAGCAGCTGCTCAGAGGCCAGGTTTGGAGGTACTCCATGGTGCTCTTCACTCACGGGGACAAGTTAGGAGGTCAGTCCATAGATGATCTGATCCGGTCCAACAGTCATGTCTCTGAGCTGGTCTCCATGTGTGGAGGTAGATACTGTGTGTTTGACAACAAGAGAAGAATCAGACAGCAGGTCAGAACCTTCCTGTCTAAGATAGATGAGATGGTCTCAGCTAACGGAGGTCAGCACTACACAGACCAGTGGTTCAGGAGAGACTTTCCTTAGAGAAGAAAGGATCCTGTCAGGTGCTTCAGGTGGTAATGAGATAAAAGAAAGCGTATTGGAGAAAATGAAACCTTATGTGTTGTTTGGAGCAGGAGCAGTAGCAGCAGTAATAGGAATATCAGTAGGAATCGGAGCAGGGATCGGAGCAGGGATCGGAGCAGCAGCAGCAGCAGCAGCAGCAGCAAGAGCTGTAGAAAGAGCAGCAAGAGCTGTAGGATCAGGAGCAGCATCAGGAGAAGTAGGAGCAGCAGCAGGAGCAAAATAAGTAGCAAGAAGAGTAGAAGGAGCAGTAAGAGGAGCAGTAACAGAAGTAGAAGAAATAGCAGGAGCCAGAATGCACAGTAATGAAGAGAAAAAGAAACAGTAGAACCTTTGAAAGACCCCTGACCCTGATCATCACAACACGTGCTGCTTCTCTCTGAAATGAAGGCAGCAGGTCTCAGGGGTTTAAAGAGGTCCTATTCTTCTTCTAGAGAGGGAGACACCCCCCCACCCCCCGATTTAGTTTGTTAATGTTCACATCATATAATCATTTTATGTTTTACTATCTTCTTATTCTTTACTCTCAAATGTCAAGTACTTCTACATACTTACAGTTATTGATTTATGATTCTCATATTCCTTTATTGATGGACTTTTCTTGATCCATGTGTGAATGATCAGCAGAGAGGGAGCAGCGGGTATTTTCCAGTCAGACGAGATAAGAACATGATGTCAGTGGATGTATGCAATTAATAATAATACCTGTGTAAAAGCTAGTATATAGTCAGCTTTGCTTTCTTTCATAGCTATTGATAAGTGACAGGAAATGTTCCCTTTTTGACGGGTTTTGGTGTCTCTTTGATTCTGTACCTTTAAGAGATGATTGGTTTGATCTTTAATAAAGAGTTGAACTTGACCTGAAAGGAGTCCATTTTTTGTTCTCAGAGACCTCCGGCCAGGCCTGGGTCTCCCACACCTTCAGGTTAACCTCCATCCTGGTTTGTAGACGTTAGAAACTCTGTTAGGAACAAGGTGAATGAACTGTTCTGACAGAGGGTTAGAGAAAAGAAGAGGGACTGTTTAGAGCAGGGGTGCCCAACCAGTCGATCGCGGGGAGATTCCCAGTCGATCGCGAGATGTGTCTAAAAATAGAACGACAATATTCTGTTTTATCATTAATGTCCTATAACATAATCTTCCTGTGCCAGAATAATGCACTTGAATGCATCAAAGCTTTGTGATTGGCCGGCGTGACCCCATGTGTCGGGGCGTGGCTGGTGGGCAGTGGGCACTAGTTAGCTGACGTTGTCCGTGGCAACAGGAGTGACAGTCCGCACACACACAAGACCGCAATTATGGCAGAAGCTAAAAAGCCCAAAATATATAATTTTCACTCCGAGTGGGAGGATGATTATTTTTGTGTCTATTCCAATTCAAAGTCCATCCGTCTCTCATCTGCAATGCGAGCGTGGCTTTATCGTAGAAGGGTCATTTAGGAGTGGCATTTCAAAACAGTGCACAACCGCTACGAGACGGAGTTCCCTCCTAACTCTGCCCTACGCTCCCAAAAGGTGAGGGACCTGAAAGGACCGCTCAATGCACAGCAGTCCATCTTCACCAGGCCCAACAACAAGAGCAAGGCTGCTACCATAGCGTCTTATCGTGTCAGGCCCAACAACAAGAGCAAGGCTGCTACCATAGCATCTTATCGTGTCAGGCCCAACAACAAGAGCAAGGCTGCTACCATAGCATCTCATCGTGTCAGGCCCAACAACAAGAGCAAGGCTGCTACCATAGCATCTCATCGTGTCAGGCCCAACAACAAGAGCAAGGCTGCTACCATAGCATCTCATCGTGTCAGGCCCAACAACAAGAGCAAGGCTGCTACCATAGCATCTTATCGTGTCAGGCCCAACAACAAGAGCAAGGCTGCTACCATAGCATCTCATCGTGTCAGGCCCAACAACAAGAGCAACGCTGCTACCATAGCATCTCATCGTGTCAGGCCCAACAACAAGAGCAAGGCTGCTACCATAGCATCTCATCGTGTCAGGCCCAACAACAAGAGCAAGGCTGCTACCATAGCATCTCATCGTGTCAGGCCCAACAACAAGAGCAAGGCTGCTACCATAGCATCTCATCGTGTCAGGCCCAACAACAAGAGCAAGGCTGCTACCATAGCATCTCATCGTGTCAGGCCCAACAACAAGAGCAAGGCTGCTACCATAGCATCTTATCGTGTCAGGCCCAACAACAAGAGCAAGGCTGCTACCATAGCATCTTATCGTGTCAGGCCCAACAACAAGAGCAAGGCTGCTACCATAGCATCTTATCGTGTCAGGCCCAACAACAAGAGCAAGGCTGCTACCATAGCATCTATCGTGTCAGGCCCAACAACAAGAGCAAGGCTGCTACCATAGCATCTCATCGTGTCAGGCCCAACAACAAGAGCAAGGCTGCTACCATAGCATCTTCATCGTGTCAGGCCCAACAACAAGAGCAAGGCTGCTACCATAGCATCTTATCGTGTCAGGCCCAACAACAAGAGCAAGGCTGCTACCATAGCATCTCATCGTGTCAGGCCCAACAACAAGAGCAAGGCTGCTACCATAGCATCTTATCGTGTCAGGCCCAACAACAAGAGCAAGGCTGCTACCATAGCATCTTATCGTGTCAGGCCCAACAACAAGAGCAAGGCTGCTACCATAGCATCTCATCGTGTCAGGCCCAACAACAAGAGCAAGGCTGCTACCATAGCATCTCATCGTGTCAGGCCCAACAACAAGAGCAAGGCTGCTACCATAGCATCTTATCGTGTCAGTCACGTTCTTGCTAAACACATGAAGTCTTTCAAAGACGGAGAAGTTGTGAAAGAAGCATTCCTGGAGGCTGCCGACACGCTTTTTGGGGACAGTAAAAATAACAGAAGCATTTCAACAGGTTTTTGATATAATAAAAACTCAAGTTAGATACCGTTATTAATCAGCTGTACGTTTTAGTTTGTTTGAACTTATTCATTATAATTATTGTACAAAATGGTATAAGAATGCAAACATTAAGATCTGTTCTGTTTAAATTGATTATAGTCTATTATCAATTCAGGTTAAGAAAGAAACTAGTGTTGCTTGCATCCTATTTTAAAGGCATGTCTTTTTATACTCTACTAAAATGCAACAAAAAAACAGGGTTTGATTCTATTAGTCTTTTTTATTGCACTCTGGCAGCAGATTCCTGTGTAGCTTCAGATCTGAGTTGTCTTATTAGTAAGCCTAATTTATACTTTTTGTAGCAACACTATTTTTATATAATGGCAAAGAAAGGGTTAAGAGTCTTTTCTTTTTCTCCTGTGTCATATGTGGCAGCACTGTTCAATGTGACGTGTGAATAAACTCCAACTCTGTATCAACAACACTGTTGTGTAACTTCAGTTAAATACTTGTGTGTAGATTAGAAAGAGGTAAGATAAAGGATCTGCAGTATTTTATGAAGTATTAATCGTACAAAGGTCAGTTTTATACAAGTAGAAGTGTGTATTTACCTGGTAGTAGGCTGTCAGTAATGGCTACGCTTCTCTATTTGGACTGGTAGATCTCGGCAGACTGGCAACTTTAAAAGTAGCTCTCGGTTCAAAAAAGGTTGGGCACCCCTGGTTTAGAGAATCACTTTGGGTAATGTTGTGTCTCCTAAAAGCTAGAAATAGTTTGAAGAATTTTTAGAAACCACTCATTGTTGATAAATTCTCCGAAAACAATCAGAAAGGCTGCACCTGCAAAGACCTGGAGGGAATCTGAAGACTCTCCAAGTCATTAGAAAATAAATAAATACCATTTCACTCACAGTAACAAGGCCCTGGGGCCTCATTTATAACGCCTTGCGTAGGATTCACGTGGGACAGTTGCTTACGTAGTACAAAGCAAAAAACTAGGTACAGAAATGTTCCGACATTTTCCGATTCACAAAACATTGCGTACCGGCGAGGGAAGTGCGTACGGCACTTCCTACGCCTGTTTCCCTTTATAAATCACAATCGACTCGAAATGCGGCGCAGCTTTTGCGGGCTTCTCGTAACGCCATATTTGCCTATAAATAGTCAAAGAAACGCCCATTCATTCATTCATTCATTCATTCATTCATTCATTCATTCATTCATTCATTCTGACTGACTGCATGAAGAAGATTGCAGGAAATGACGACCGAACAGCTAAAAAAGACATCTCACACCGTGTCAGGTTTTGGTTATTTTGGGGAGGTGGAGATAAATCATATTGTTTGGTGGATGCAGTTTGAACCAGAGTAGCAGCATGGAGGTCGGATCGTCACCAACATAAATAAATAAGTGGTCCGAAAAAAGTTAATGACAAAAAAAATACACATAGCCTTCCTCAGGCAGTGTGTTTGTCCCGGGGACAGGAGACCCCCCCCCTTGATGAGAAACTAAGAAATGATGGGGGAATCCCTCCGGAGTGTAGTCATGACGACTGGATCTGAATTATTGTGTTGTATTTGGTGGTTTGTGTTCCAGCTGTCGATCAGCAACTATATATCCATAATCCACCAGTTAAAGGAAATACAATGTGTTGTGTTATATTAGCTGTTTACCACATATGGTGTTCTTAGTTTCCATACCTCCTGTGTTTTACGAGCGACTTATCAAGTCTTGGCAAACGGCTTAAAACACGATTAAACGTGATAGGATATAAAACCATGCTCGTATCTACAACCTATAGAAATGCAAAACGGCGTCAGTTTAGACGTAATTCTGTCCCCCTGCTTACCGCATCATTTATGAGAAAACATTTCATAACATTAACACAACATATTCGAGGTGGTTTTAAATAACATATCCGTATTTATTTATTTCTCCAAGTTGTGTTTTTGTGTGCACTGAGGAGTCTCAAACAGGCGTTTGTTTCATCATTTTAAGATTGGCTTTAATCAATGTTTGAAAATGAATTCTTCATATTTGATAAATGAGAGGTAACATTTTATTTATGGTATTATTTCCACATATTTCTCTCCATTCTTCCTTCTGCCAACGGTGTCACAGTTTCTCGTCTCTCCCGTTGTTGTGCTTAGTGCGTACGCATGGGTTAGAGTTTGCGTGGAGGACAGCACATTTTCCCGTCAAGTTAGTATTTTATAAATCGCAAACATTGCGTAGAAACTGGCGTACGCCATTTTTTGAGCGTATAACCCTTTATAAATGAGGCCCTTCTTCATCTGAGACTTTGCTGTTACTCTGGGCTCCAACATAGAACTGCTAGTTATTCTCACTTCACTGCATTCCACCGCTGATCATTTTAAATAATATTAACATTGTTGGAGCCATTTATGTTTACTGTTGGCATGTTATATTATTTTCTTTAGATTTATTACGTTAAACTATTTGAACACTAGGTGGCGGTGATTAGCTGGATAAAGGTGTATGAAATAGGGTTATAGGTGACCGGAAAGGGAGGGACACAGGTGGGGAGAGAGCATACAGTTCTTACCGTACTTACCAGCAGTATGATGCGTTCCTCTGGGGTCTGTGAAGAACAAGGAGGTTCTGTAAATCACTTTGGGGATCAAAGGCTCCTTAGATCTTCATAGCATCTTATACCATCATCAAACATTATGTAATATCTCCTTTTATCTCGATCACATGCTCTCTTTCTGTTATTGTTTTTTATTTTTTCACCAGTTTCTTTGTTATACAAAAGTACATGTGCTATTAATAAATATATGCTATATATATATATTATAAGTGCTATATTTGACTGAGTCAAAGTATACCATTTTATTTGACAGAGAACAATTGTTCATGTTTACAGCAGCATATAGTTTGGCGTCCGGCCTCATTAGTATCATTAAATATGAATCCCCCTAAACTGTTCATGCATGTGTACACTTCACATACTCCGGATCCTTCAGTTATCTATTTGAAGTGTACGTCCCATTCAAATACTTAACTGCGGAAGACAATGCAGGTATGTATTTGAAGTAGACAGGGCCATATTTCAACATTGCAATGGGCCAGGAAGCTGATCCTTGAACTGTGTCATGCTTCCAGCCCATGGATCGAGTGTGTCGATTTCAGAGATTATCGGAGAACCTTTGACTTTTTGACCTTTTCCAACTCACCTCTGAATACTGACTTTTCCTGAAAAACAGGTCAAAAATAAAGTTACTCTGATTTACATGAAAGTTCGTGTAGTGATAAAAGTGGCCTCACAGATGACTAATTCAAAGTCACGTGCATGTAGCCCCTGGCATCTTTGAAATATGACTTTGTACATTTCAAATACCACTGGAACCTGGTCTGAGACTCAAAAAGCCTTTCTCGCAACCTGTCCACTTCACATGCCCGAGATCCTGCGGTAAAGTATTTGACGATTTCTCCCTGGTGCTTCATCACAGGTGTCTAAAACTTAAATGGCATATTTCTGGTGTTCCAGGGACCAAGATGTTCGAGAGCATGTTTCTCAACCTCAACGAGAGCAAGACTGAGGTCATCTTTTTTGGACCCCAACCTCCAGCCTCTCCGGTTGATATTCTGGGTTCTCTCAAAAAAAACATCCTCCCCTCGGTCATGAACCTTGGAGTGACCTTCACTAGCACTTTTAAATTCGACAAGCAGGTCAGCACTGTAGTCAAATCCTGCTTTTTTTAAATAAGACTATTGGCCAAGACCAAGTCGTATTTATCTTTTAATTACTTAGAAAGGGTTATTAACGCCTTTGTTACCTCAAGACTGGATTATTGCAACGCTCTGTATGTGGGTATGGACCAGGCCTCAATTAAACGCCTGCAGCTAGTCCAAAACGCGGCTGCACGTTTGCTGACTGGCCACAAAAAGCGTGACCACATCATCCCTATTCTGGCCTCACTACACTGGCTTCCAGTTCGGTTCAGAATTGATTTTAAAATCCTTTTATTTGTTTTTAAAGCACTAAATGGGCTGGCTCCGGCCTATATAGCTGAACTCCTCCAGCGCTACACCCCAGCCAGAGCCTTAAGGTCTGCTGACCAGCTGCTGCTGGTAGTGCCCAAGACCAGGCTCAAAACCCGAGGGCACCGAGCCTTCGCAGCAGCTGGCCCGAGGCTCTGGAACACTCTGCCCCTCCATGTGAGGTCGGCCCAGACCCTAGGGGTTTTTAAATCTACACTAAAAACACACTTCTTCTCTCTGGCCTTCTAGTTAGAGCGGAGCACGACTCCTGACTTTTCCTTGTGTTTTATTTTTATTTTTTATATATATCTGTTGTAATTTATTGTCTTTTATTGTGATTGTAGTAATGTGTTTTTATTACATGTACAGCACTTTGGCTCGACCAAAAATCGCTTTTAAACGTGCTTTATAAATAAAACTTGATTTGATTTGATTTTGATTTGAGTATCAGCTTGCTGTGTCGATGCATCGTGGAGATATGGCCGTGTCCATTTCAGATACCTTTAGTGTTTGAAATGTCCAAGGCCTTAAGTCCTGCGTGCTCTCGCCTAGGAGGCTGCGTATTTGTTCCTGACACCTCATCCCACATGAATAAGTGTTGTAAATCTGCTGAGGGTCATTTCAAAATATGCGCCTTTGGCCGTAGTTTGGACCCCCATGTTCTAACACCTGAACATCAGCAGGAGAGGAGTCTTTAAAGTAGAGACACTACATACTGATATACACCTGAACATCAGCAGGAGAGGACTCTTTAAAGTAGAGACACTACATACTGATATACACCTGAACATCAGCAGGAGAGGACTCTTTAAAGTGGAGACACTACATACTGATATACACCTGAACATCAGCAGGAGAGGACTCTTTAAAGTAGAGACACTACATACTGACATACACCTGAACATCAGCAGGAGAGGACTCTTTAAAGTAGAGACACTACATACTGATATACACCTGAACATCAGCAGGAGAGGACTCTTTAAAGTAGAGATACACTACATACTGATATACACCTGAACATCAGCAGGAGAGGACTCTTTAAAGTAGAGACACTACATACTGATATACACCTGAACATCAGCAGGAGAGGACTCTTTAAAGTAGAGACACTACATACTGCAGACTGAGCTGTGAGGATGTTTCCTCGTGTGATTGAGATGATATTTTACAGATATTAAAAGCATATTGTGAAATGACTCTTCAGCTTCTTCTTGTTTATGAAATGTTTCCATAACCCAGAGTCTCTTCACATGGAAGCGCTTCTGACTCAGAAAACTTTCCTCTCCACGTTTTTCCCATAAATCTCTCTGTTTATACGCTGTGCCGTCTGAGGAATGTGAGGGATTCAGATCATATTTCATCAGGGTGTGTGTGTGTGTGTGTGTGTGTGTGTGTGTGTGTGTGTGTGTGTGTGTGTGTGTGTGTGTGTGCAGGGTCCAGGTGTTCTCCCAGGTGAACAGGATGTCAGCTCAGAACCTGGCTCTGGTCCTGGTCCCCTCTCTGTTCCAGACTCTGAACCAGGACCTGCTGACGCTCACCAGAGAGTTCATCATCCACCACTCGCTGCTCTTCCTGGTGATGCCTTCACGTACCCTACAATACGTTATTATTAATAAAGGACTGGTGTAAATGATAATATCTGATTTATGTTGTTGTGTGTGTGCAGACGCTGGGTGGAGAGGAAGAGGAGGAGGAGCAGATCACCGTCTTCTGAGGTTTCCTCCTCACGTTATATTTAAATAAAGCTTTAGTTTCTTTTGGGGAAGATCAATGTTTTCCTGTTGGTCAACATGAACACATTATTAACTCTTAGCCTGTGTTAGCATACATTAGCATCTGACTGCATCTGTTAGCATGTATATATATATATATATATTATTAGCAAATGTCATTCTGTTCATATCTGATATCATCTGTTAGCATTAGTGTTCACCTGTCTATAATTGTAAGGGCTAGCTAGCATCTGTTAGCAACCCTTAGCATCTGTTAGCCACCCTTAGCATCTGTTAGCAACCCTTAGCATCTGTTAGGACCCTTAGCATCTGTTAGCAACCCTTAGCATCTGTTAGCAACCATTAGCATCTGTTAGCATCATCAAAATATTTTATTAAACCTTTAGTTTATTTTGGGGAAGATCAGAGTGTTTATCTCTCCTGTTGGTCAACATGCATACAGTATTAACTGTTAGCATGTTTTAGCATACAATAGCATCTGTCTGCATCTGTTAGCATTTATATACAGTATATATTATTTTTTTTAGCATATGTTAGCATATACTTTATTAGCATCTGTCTAGATCTTTAAGCGCTTGTTAGCAACCATTAGCATCTGTTAGCATCATCAAAATATGTTATTAAACCTTTGTTTTCTTTTGGGGAAGATGAAAATGTTTACACAAATACATTTGATTATTATAATTAAAGTTGTATTTATAAAAAGGGGAAATGATATTATCAGGAGTTTACATTTTCACATTATTATATATATTCTTATCTTTCATTACTCTAATATTTTATCATCTTATATTGTATTATTTTTGGTTAATTTCTTGTATTGTTAAAATAAAAGAGGAACATCTCTAACGTCTGCAAACAACCTCACTTTATTGATTAAGATGTAAACAGAGAAACATGCAGGTGAGGAGAGCTCTGATTGGCCGTCACATGTACACGTTCTCCTCTGAACTCTGCGCTGGTATTGGTGTTTCCACGGAAACAGCAGGATTACAGGGAACTGTGGACAGGTTAAGAAGTTAGCATCTGTTAGCATTCAATAGCATCTGTTAGTATACATAGCATCTGTTATAATCTCTTAGTATCTATTAGCATTCAGTAGCATGTGTTAGCATATGTGTGCAACTGTTGGCATGTGTTAGCATTCAATAGCATGTGTTAGCATACATTAGCATCTGTCTTGATCTGTTAACAGTTATTAGAATACATGTCTGCATCTGTTAGCATTCAGTAGCATCTGTTAGAATCTCCTAGTATCTGTAAAGCTGGCTACACACCAACCCGATTTTGGGAGTCAGAGGCCGTCAGAGGCAGTCGGGCATTCGCGGCGCCCTACTCAGGTTGGTGTGTCCCGCACCGTCGTGTCTTTACGGCACCTTTTCACACCTCCCGATGCCTCCCGCGGCCGATTCAACATGTTGAATCGGCCGCGGGAGGTCAGAGAAAGTCGGCCCAAGCAATCACTCTGATTGGCTGTTCACACTACCGCAGCCTGCTGGTAAGGACAGTTATTGCCACTCGTCGACTGAAGTATTTGCGGTGTGTTCGTAGGCGGGCGGCGTAGGCGGGCGGCGTAGGCGGGCGGTGTAGGCCGACATAAAAGTCGGGATGCCTTCGGTACGCGTTCTTTGGTCTCAGGTGGGTGTGTAGCGGCCTTAACGGTATATTAGCATCTGTTAGCGTCTAAGCATTGTAAATAAACCAGTGTTACCATAGTGACATTCGTCCTCCTCCCTCTTGTTGCCACGGTGACTGTGCATCTCCACATACAGGTTGTCCTCCAGCGGACCTGAAGCAGCAGATCATAAATATCATAAAATATTAACTAAACCAATCAGTGAAGCTTCAGGTGTGTGTGTATCTCTGATTGGCTGATACCTGAGAGTCTGATCCGCTGCTTCCTCTTCCTGTTGAGGGCGAACAAGATGATGATGATGATGCAGAGGACGAGAAAGAGGAGGAAGAGGAGGATAAACACCGTCACCAATACACTCCTGCTGCTGAGATCTGCTGACACACACACACACACACACACACACACACACACACACACACACCCACACACACACACACCCACACACACACCCACACACACACACACACACACAGACACACACACACACACACACACACACACACCCACACACACACACACACACCCACACACCCCCACACACACACACACACACACACACACACACACACTGCACGGTCAACAACAAAATCAACACGAGTAATGGGTTGCGGTCGAATAGTCCATTTAGCTTAGGAACCTTCCTAACGGAGTGAAATGACCCGGAGGTCCCTCAGTGGCAGCCATGATAAGAGCCGTTCTAGTTCTCTAGATGAAAGGAAAGGAGGTTTCAAGCTTCCTTTATAACCTCCTTTAGCTTAGGAACCACTGGACCTCCCTAACCGAAAGGAGAGGAGAAAATGCTGCCCCACAATGCCTTGCGGCCGCAGCATTTGCCGTCACACAACAGTCGGCCGTTCACGGAAACAACCGATTATGACCGAGAAATGATATCATGAAAGTTACGGTGCTTATTAAGCATTTTAAAACGTATGTGGTAAGTTGCCAAAGTGCTTTGTTTTGAACGTTCATCAGTATTATAATCAAAAAGAGAAATATGAACGTTAGTTTTTACTGAAATGATCAAATAAAGTCAACATTTCACAGTCTTTACTGAGCTGTGTGGGGTTTGTTCAACTTTGAAAAGATGTTTGAATGGTGATATACACAGTGATAGATGTTAAGGACTAACGTTTAGAATAAATACATTTGTATTGATTTTAAGATCTTTTCATACAATCATACGTATTGGGATCATTTGTATTAATGTGGACCGGAGGGAGAGGGTGATGAGCATAAGTTTCACTTTCCTTTTTTATTTCAATTCCAACTTTGGTCATGAAGAATATGTTTCTCTGTTGTCCCCGTTCATAAAGCATAACAGCATCAGAGCACGGTGCAGAATCTCTAGATGAGTTTACAGTAGTCCCTCGTTCTTATTAAACATCCATGTTGTAGTCCGCTGTATAGAAAACTGTAGTTTCCATAGTTTCCCCACAGCAGCAGACGCACATTCATGACGTCCGCTGGCGCATCATAAACACGTCGGATAGTGAAAGTGCAGTCGATTCTCTAAAGTACCGCA